GGGCGGGGCGGGGGCGGAAGGTCGAAGGAGGGTGGAGGGGGCAAGGGTGCCGTGGCTGCGAGGGCGGGCCCCGGCGGCGAGGAGGGCGGCGGCGGCGAGGGCCGAGGGCGAGGGGTGGTGAGAGTGGCAGCAGGCCGAGGGGGGGCGGGGGTGAGGGCGGCGCGGCGACCGAGGCGGGAGGCGGCAGCGAGGGCGGCGGCGAGGGCGGCGGCAAGGGCGGCGGCAAGGGCGGGGGATAGTGTAAGAGATCTTGCGGCGCGGTGACGGCAAGGGCGAGGGCAGCGGAGGGGGTGGGGGCGGTGGGCCGGTGGCGGCGGCGTGGGTGGCAGCGAGGGAGGCGGGCATGGTGGTGGTGGCGAGGGTGGTGAGAGCAGCGGCGGTGGAGACGGTGGTGACGAGGGCGGTGGAGGTGAGGCGGGACGGCTGGAGGCGAGGGCGGCGGCAGGCCGACACGGGGTTGGAGGGAGCGGCGTGCGTGCCTGGCGACGCCTCGGCCAAGTGCGCAAGGTCCAAGGACAGTGGCAACGGAGGTGACTTGTGGGTGATGCTCCCTGATGCTAGAGGAGTGCAGTGCATGCTTCGAAACACAAAGAAGAGCATGGAAGGCTCTGAGTAGAGAGAGACGCTTGCGGTTGCGCCGCCCGCTCCGGAGGCCGCATTCAGCCCGGAGGGGCGGGGCGGAAGAGACGGCTGCGAAGGGGGCGTCGAGGGCGCAGGGAGGGGGCGGCACCGGCGTCCGCCTTCGGTGGGGATTGCAGCTGCAACACGGGCGGCGCGGCGGGGGCAAGGGTGCGGATGAGGCCATGAGGGTGGGAGGGGCGAGGGTGGCCGGAATGGTAGCGGCGGCATGGGGGGTGAGGGCGGTGGCGAGGGCGGTGGGGCAATCGAATGACAGCGGCAAGCGAGTTGGCCGGGCGATGCACTACAGAGGAGCGCGGTGTGTGCTTCGGAACGCAAAGAAGAGCGTGGAAGGCTCTGAGTAGACTTAGACGCTCGCGCCGCCCGCTCCGGAGGCCGCATTCAGCCCGGAGGGGACCGCGGGAGCGCCCAGAGGCGGCTCGGGGAGAGCCGGGTGTGTCTGCGCAGTGGCCTGCGCGCTGCCTTGGGCAGAAATCGCGCTCTCGCCCCCTCGGCTCCGCCCCCGAGCGAGTGAGGCTCGGAGGAGAGGCGAGAGGGGGAGAGCGCCGAGAGAGCGACTGAGGAACGGGAGAGGCCCTGGCGCGGCTCCGAGCGAGGGTTGTTGCGCGCGCGCAACAAATCGTCAGAACCAAGGCTGAATCTCAGCGGATCGTGGCAACAAGGCCACTCTGCCGCGTACAATACCCCGTTCCTTATTCAAGTCGTCTGCAAGGGATTCGTCGGCCCGGGTCCGTGAATTGTGGTCGCTCGCGGCTCAGGCAGTGCTACCGTTGCTCGTGGCGTCCCCGGGCCGGTAGGTGGCTTTCCTTCCGGCATGGATTCTAACTTAGAGGCGTTCAGTTATAATCCGGCGCATGGCAGCTTCGCCGCATCGCCGTTTCCGGCGGCGGCTATACCGATGATGCGAATTGGTGGTTCCTCTCGTACTGAACCAAATTACCGTAGAAAAACAGACAGCAGTAGGGTAAAACTAACCTGTCTCACGACGGTCTAAACCCAGCTCACGTTCCCTGTTGGTGGGTGAACAATCCTGCATTTGGCCCCCGCTGCGAGGCAGTGATAGGAAGAGCCGACATCGAAGGATCAAAAAGCTACGTCGCTATGAACGCTTGGCAGCCACAAGCCAGTTATCCCTGTGGTAACTTTTCTGACACCTCTAGCTTGAAATTTCCCAAAGACGAGGAGGATCGATAGGCCACGCTTTCGCGGTTTGTATTCGTACTGAAAATCAAAATCAAC